TTAAAAATTAAGTGAAGTCAAAACTTTCTACCCCTTTTTACAAAAATTGCGCGGACGGAGGGGTATGAAGTTTACTACACTTATGTTTTATATAGAGGAGTGCAGAATGCTAATATTTTTTTTCAATTATGGATAAAAATACATTAAATCAATAAAAAAAAACGTTACTACACTTTAAATATTAAACTTTAAATATTATTATTTATATAATAAAACATTACAATTACCGTGTATAATTAATTATGCTCGAATTTCGACCGAGAGACATTTTACTTTCTTAGGAAATATTCTTCAATCAATACTTATAATAGAACAGGCTACATAAGTAGTTCATCTACAAATCGCAGTTTTCCCACAACGTCGGAACAGAATCTGTTAGTAAACCTTGAAAATCCGCAGCCATAAAGAGCTGGAATTTATTTTATGTTACCAAACTGTTACCATTATTACCCTACTACAGATGTTTATCTGCGAATAGTACGTATTGTTGCCAGCGTACAGCTTGATTACGACGATTCCACCCTTGGAAGGTCACGGATGCGTCGTACGTGTAAACAAACTGCGCAGAAGTAGGAATCGCGTATTAATTAATTGATTAATCGTATTATTATTATTAATTAATTAATTGAGCATAGTTTTCTCCTTAACACGATACCGATACTCGTGGTGAGAATATAAATGAGCATTCAATTTTTAAAATAGATTAATGACACAGATTTGAACAAGATAATTAATATTACATATAAACATCTGATATGCAAAAAGTGAAATGACATTTGTCCTGATAAATATTTATGGAAAGACTGACAGTTAATTATCTGATAAGTTTGTTAATGTGATGAACTGGCAATTGCTTTCTGATGTTAAGTGTCTTCCGCTCATGGACATCTACAGCACCTGATGGGTTGCAGCTATAAAAAAGTGAGCCCCGGCTACTAAAAGAGCAGATAAAGCTAGTTTTAACTATCCGAAATAAACGGAAAAAATCATCTTTGTCGATGTTTGTGGTTTCAGTCCTGAAACTATTAACAGTGTCGTGTTCGCTTGTCTGTCGCCTCTTTGCGGTCCGTGTGGTCCCAATATCAGATTTGTCGAGACCGAAAGCCAAGGAATCGTGTACCATCGCGCCGCTAATTGCGGGGTGCCGTTGCAACATACAATCTCTTCCATTAAAGGGCCGGATTATTCTTAAGGAACAATGGATGAGAGCCCTATTCAAGGCTCATCCTAATTGAGTTTGCTCGGACGAGCTTGTTATTACATTGTATGAGATGTAACGTTAATAAATATGAATGGTTTATATGTGCATATTGTACTTTTGATATCAAGAGATATTAAAATAATGCGTATTATTTTCATTGTTCCTATACGCCAGGATATTTAAGAAGTTTCGACGAAGTATTATGTATCTTACATTGTCAAAACTTTTAAAATTATGATAAACTTAATAAGTTTTATTCTTTTGCTTGGTTTAATTATGCATTTTGATAACTCTTGCCATTATGTTCACATTCATGTTTTCCATACATACGTTCGTTTATTGCACTTAATTTTGTGTAAGTTTAGTGAAGTTGGCTAATGGCTGGCAGCTAGTAGCTAGATAGTTCAACTGTTATGGGTGTTCAATTTTTGGATTGTTTAGCAATACTTTTGCTTAACAGGGAGATGGTTCTATGGGGTTACGTAATTTACGTTAAGTCTGACTGGTAAACCTAATGAACAATATATCCATTAGCAAATCTCGGGTTAATTTTGACGTTCTCACGAATTTTGGGTCGGTATTGTTTTAAGGGGCAAAAAGAAATATGTGTTCGGGCCTTGAGAAAGTTTTTTTTAGGCCCATGGGCGCAGGTTTGCATCTGTTCGACATATGCAACCACTAAATCGACCTTTAAGGAGTGTGCAAAAGAAATAGGGTTGTCCTTTGAATTATCGATTCTGTAAAAAACATTTAACGTGCATAACAAATTTTAACAAACGTGAAACTAGTCTTCTTCAATAGAATTATTCCAACCTTAGAAATACGTGGACAGCGCTGTAGCTTAAAGCTATCGATATAATAATAAAAAAATATATACAAATGTAACAGAAATATGTAAAAGATTTATGATGAGAGAATAGATAGATAGAGAATAGAGAGAAATATGTATGTATTAACGGTTATGGCGATGTATCAAGTCATCTTCTCCATACGAAACTGCGCATTTTGGGATTGTCACATCGCGTTAAGATCATACAGCCACGCGCGACGTCAATGTCCACATAAAACAATCAACGTCCACTGTCGACTGACGTCGAGACAAAAGACGAAAAAAAAAATGGACCCGCGCGATGTTTATCGATGTCGACGCGGTACAAAGCGCAGCACTGTCCGCCGCCCATAATTCACAGGCCACAAATCTGGAGGAGCGTTAAGACCCGACCGTACCCACTAAACAAAGAACTGCAACTTTGTCCGACGAGTTTTTAAGTTGGCAGCGTCGCTGCAAGAGTTAAACTCGGTTTATCACTCCAATGACTTTCTTGAACACCCAAGGTTTTCCTTAGTCCTCGCTTAAGTTATAAAATATTAATTTAATATGGTTACTGTTAACTTCATCTACATAGTGTCGCGTTTTGAGGGTCGGTGGGCGCGCGCATCGTGAAAATTTGACTCTCACAATTTTTCCGAACGCACCAAAAAAAGTATGACTTAAAAATATCAGAAGTTTCCAAAAGAGATCTTTCATTTAAATTCAAGATACTTTCCAGAACGGATCTAATTTCGGTTGGCGGCTCCGGAATATCGCATATAAATTATAAATTGCTACTCGAAAAGAAACAAACAAATCTCCAGAGAACCGAATCCGCACAGTGTAATTAGCGTTTCACGTTTTTACATTCGCAACGGATGAAAACAAGCGAAGCTTAAGTACCGGAGTTACATTTTTGCGCGCGTTAAATTCGGCGTTCCACATGCGGCACGTCTCGGCCGTTATAAGCACTTATATTCGTCGATGGAGTTTCGAAACTTGGACCCCATTAATGGTGCATTATTTGCCATGATATAGGCCACGTGTGTCAATCCATTATTTGCCATGATATAGGCCACGTGTTTCAATCGATTTCCATCGCGAATTTGTATGCTAAGTGTAAGTTCTACTCATCGACACAGCAGTTTCTTTTTTGGGGGAAAACGACGACAGCATAGTTTTTTATCGAAACTTTTTTCAAGGACGTGAACACTAATTATTAGTGGCAGGGGAAGGCTCGTCTGTAGAAGTATCGCGGTCTCACAGATGATTAGCGTGAAGTAAAATAAATGCTTTTGCATTTCATCTTGTGCGTGAATGCCTAAGGATTAACAAACCCACTTGCAACCACCCAGGTATAGTAAGTGTCCATTGACGACAGGAATCACTTAACATCATTTGAATCACCTGATTGCTTTTAAACACTTGACTTAAAAACAGCAAAAGCTTTGTAGTGCGTTTCCTTCAGTAATGTAGGCACAATTGTTAAAATTTTCAAAAGGTACTCAATGCATCTGGAACCCTCGGGTGTAGCAGATGTCCATGGGCGCGGGTATTCACTTAACATCAGGTGAACCGTATGCTCGCTTGGCAATTATTCACATAAAAAAAATTGTTCTGTTGACTAAAACATAAATGTCTTTTTTTAGCCGGAGCCCAATTTTCAAAAGGTTGTCAACGCATCTGTAACCTGTGTGGCAGATGTCCATGGGCGGCGGTATTCACTTAACATCAGGTGAACCGTCTGCTCGTTTGACACCTTTTCGCATAAAATAAATAAACACCTGTCGCTTAATTGTTTCATCGTTTTCATCGACTTTATTTTGTTAGTTTTAGCACTCCACCAACTTTTTTGCAAATAGCAATGTAAATTTAACTTACCTTCTGAATTGCGATTGAACGTCGTGTTACGATATATGTACAGGATAAAGTTCACAAACAAATGTTTTGAATTTGGGTTCGCATTGTGTCTGTTAAAGCTCCCGCGACGAAACAACTTATCCCTAATGCGCCATTTAAAAAAAATACAATCTAAAATCCGAAACTCGCTTTTCTGTAGCACTAATAAATTTTCTAGATTTATTATACGCGTGTGCGTATTCCTCCAGTCACATGTGAACTCCCTCTGTACATCGTAACAATGACATCACTAGTCCTCTGACGTCACTAAAGTGAATAGATTACGAGCCAGCTTTAGAAATGTCTACGCCGTAATTATTTTAGTTCTTTACGCCTACCGAAATTTCTAGCAACCTTGCGATAAGGTTTTTTGATATTTTGCCAGGAATAAATTTTGTCTGACCAAAACTGTTACACTCTTAAACAAACAATAGCTGTGCCGTGACGGCCTTTTTAGGTTATACTTAATAGCAGATATCCGCTGCGTAATTATTAATGTAGTGCAATAATTAATTTCAATTATTGATGTAAATATATATATGTAAATGACACTTAATTTAGGATTATCTTAACATACACGCATTATTGTGATATTATATGTAACGTTAATTTATATATCTTAATGACGCACGCGTCCCAATTCGTCAGCTGCGTTTTTCATTCCTTTAGCGAGCGTATACCCTGTATTCTGTCATGTTTATAAGATTTATTACCGCGCTCAATACAATATATCAACTGGAACAATGAATTACGCATAAATCTCGCCCGGCGGATTTTATTTTCACCGATCTACTGTCATTTAAAACAAATACAATGAGTCATTGTGTGTAGTCTGAAATTAATAATTGGGAAGCTGACGGTAGCTTAAAGGACATAAGGATCGCAGTCCATCCCATGTTTGATATAAGGCGTTAAAATGAAACTAATATAGATCATCAGGTCTCTACATTAATTATAACACTGTACAAAATAAAAATGATTTTTGTTCTGTGTTTTTGTTTTCCCATATTCAAGTAATAAGTTGGTTAAAAACTTAATAGCGGTTATAGTTATAGTTGTTAAATATTTTTTTGTATCCTTCCATTTCAGATGACTCGTACACAGTAATAGAGGCGTCGACAAATGAAAGGCTGAGGCTGGTGTGCGGGTTGCGGCCCAGGAGCCAAACCCAGATGGTCAGGTGGCATTTCGACGGGAAGCCTTTGGACGGGCCGGGGAAGTCCAGAATAGTCCAACAAAGGCAATGGTGGGTACTTAAAGATCTGCAAATATACATTTGGAACGTATAACGCTCCTGCATAATGTTAAGCGTTAATCTTTTAAAAGCATTCCTAGTGGTACACATGATTTTATGCGTCTGAAATTAAACTACATAATAGTATCTTTGTGGATTCCATGGCTACCAATTCGTAATATCAAGATAACGTAAGTCCATAGATGAACCTTTTTGTAATTATCAAATGATGTCAACTGCGCGGGCTCGTTTATAATGCTGTAAACTTCCACCCACTCCCCTTCTCAAGTAAGATGCAAGATAATATATTCCATCGTAACTGTTCGAATAATGTATTCCAAACAAGCAGATGTGATCCCACGTTAAAAATACCAAACTCCGCATAGCGTTACAAAGGAAAATCATCAACATAAATAACAATGCAGTAAATTAAGTCGAACACGAGAAAACTTGGATCAATACGCATGGAGAATTCCAAGGCGCTGGAAATCAAGCAATAACTCATTCCGCGCGCCACGTTGAGCCGGCACATTTCCATTTGACTCAAATAAAGCATACTGTCGATCAAAACAACGCATCGAATCAATCAAGCCATTCGCTGATCTCAGATTAAGGCCTAACGCTGCTATTCCAGGCTTCGGGAATGGCAAATGTTTAAGAGGCTAGTGCACACAAACGCAATATGCATTGCAGTTCCTCTCAATGTTAGTTTAGATTTTCCTCTTTCTCTTTTCTTGTTCAAATTCCTCAGCGGCTTTAGCTAAAGCTTAGAGAAGTTGTCTTTTTGTTTTATTTGGGTTTATCTAACATTGGAGAAGACAACGTTACATTATTTTTTTATAATATGTACGCAGTTGATGTGTTTAATCTCTGCAAAGTTTTAATTTCGCGTATTAGAAGATAATTACACAAAAAAATTTGTTCTAACATCATATCATAGAAATAAGTTTAGGTTTGAAATTATTGAGATACTAATTATAGATTCATTCTGACACAAAGCAAAAAATCTTTTGCAAACATGCAAATAAACCTATTTAGATAGCATTAGATATGGTTTTATATATATCATCATGAATCTTAAATTATTGTAGTGAAAATTTCTATAAGCACGTAGGTAATTTTGGATGGGTAAAAATTCAAAAGTTTGCGTCATCATCACGTTAAGGTCGAGTGTTTTGTCGCTGATTTAAAAAAAATTAAAAATTAAAAATATTTGACACAATGTAAAACAAATTTCTTGCTGGTAGTATTTTTGTAGCGTATTTTAAAATTAAAATTGTATGAATTGTTACAAAATGATTTAAATTCTCAAAAATATTGGTCATTAGTTTAAATTGTAAAAATAAAATAGATCTTTTGCAATTTGCAAAAAGTGAGTCATTTGTGATTTTATCTATTAATGTGGGGATATTTATTTATAACTACAATACAAATTATTAATTTTATTACTGTAATTTATTTATATCTTTAAAAAATTATTATTCTATTTTTAAGTTTTCACTGATGTTGCCTGTGCCCATGACTGATTTTATTGATAATGTAGAGACATAGACTTTGTGGCGGATTTAGCCTTAGTCAACTCATTCCTTCATTTATAAAACGTGAGGCATCATGGGCGTACTCGATCAGATTTCGTATTCGCATCGCGTTTTAGAATCTAATGCGACCGCAAGTGTAACTCTGGTAGCTTCACAAACGCGACGCCCATGTTATTCAATGTACGCGTGTTACAATTGTTTTCTACAAGTCCTGTGTAGTTCTTATTAAGTCTTGCACGTGCCAAGGTTTTGATTTGTCTTTTCATTTGAATAATGATGAAAATAAATTGTTTTTGTGCAACGATCAATATTTTATCTTTTATTTAGTTTACAACATTTTGTATATTACATATTTAATTTAGTCTTCGCCATTCCTGGATACTTCGAAGATTCGTAAAGTAATAAATAATTAAATAAATAAAGTGCCCGTTCATGTTTACGTCGCACGTAACTGTAATTATATGCGATTGTAGTTTATGAGGACATTTATTGTTTTTCATAAGCGCTTATCTGTACTTGAAGCATTATAAATGGTATTCATCACTTACAGTATCGTCAACGTTTAAATTTACATCAATTTCAAAAACAATTATCATTGTAGTTGAGATATTATATGCGGTACAATTACGTATTGCCTCTTAAATGAATAACACAACCAATAATGCATTTTTAAATATTTTTTTCTCTAAAAAAAAAAAAGTATTCAAGACTAATTTTCTAATTTTCGAAGTATTTTTTTAGTTTGAAATGATCTGATCTATAATCGCTCCTGTTGTCGCATCTCGACAATTGATATGTCGTATCTGTTAAATTGATTCAAGTGACCATTGTTCTAGGTTGAGGATAAAGGGGTTCAGAATGAAGGACGCAGGCGTGTATTCGTGTCACAACGACGAAGAAAGAGGAAACGAGTTGAGCGTAACGATCAAACACAGGCCTGACGCGGAGCAAGACAATTTGGAAGGTGAGAATTCCGATTGGCGAGCAAATAAAACGGCGAATGCGCAGCCCCATAAAGTGTACTTCATCGCGATGCAGTTATTTGCGTTTCTGAGTCCGTTCGGCGGAACGGAATGCGTTGTTGGTATTTCGGTGTTCAATTTAATCGATGTCTTTATTATCCGTCCACATGTGTAAACATATCGAGCTAATCCCGCGCCGGATTTTCATGCCAATACGTACTGCGTCGCGTATTGCATCTGTCCGACGTTATGTTTTCGATTATAATATATATTTTATTGTAAACCGACCCTTTAAGCTCAATTTATGAAGTCGGCTTCCTGTTAAAATCAATAACAATGTGAACTTGAAATGCTTCTTGGCAAATATTTCACAATTATCTCATGATTTACTACAAAGATGACTACTTTCATTCTTGCCTTCATTCCTGTCTCATTTTTAAATAGTCTCTTTATGTCCAGAAAAAAAAAAAAAATAGTCTTAATGACCACAATGCTATAATACATATCATTGTTTTTTATGTTTCGAGTTTACCTAAAACTGTTGAAAAATGTATACGTACGCAAAAATATACGTACATATTCTATATTCCCGTTGGGTGGATCAATCTGTTTTTTACAACACAAATAAATTCCTTAGCCTTAAAATATATAACTAAGTAACAACTATGTGTAATCTTAACTTTGTCCATAAAAATACTGCATTTTTGACGTGTACTATATATGTAAAACTGAAAAATGTGGGCAGCCCTACTATGTAGCTGCATTAATCCTTTGCGCTTCGCCATCCCGCAGAGTACCAATCGGACGTTGACGTGCAGAGGCCGATGCCGGAAATATTGTCGCAGCACCAAGCGCCGCTGTTAGAGAACAACACGATCGAGGAGAAAGCCACGGCGGACGCGAAGAGGTTAACGAAGAGCATGAAGTACCGCGAGTACGACATAAGGGACGAGGACATAGACGACAAGAGCGAGAGGGAGCACCCCAACTACGGCCACGTTGACGACACCAAGACGAAATACGCGCCGAAGTTCAAACATCCGTCGAAGATGTTCAACATGGACATGAAGCCCGCCGGCAGCTCGATAAGACTGAAATGTGCCGCAGACGGTAAGAATTTGTTCGATGATCCGAGATCCTTATTACCAGTAGCTTGTTAGCGGGATGGCATTCCTTTATTATTATTATTTTTTTTTTATTTTTTTATTTAGGATCGCAAACTGAACATTACGCTCACATTACGGAATAATGGACACAGATACAGATGATACGGAACTTAAAACGCAAGTGAATGTTCTTCTAGGAGCTAACACAACACAACTATTAAATACAACGTGCCCCAATCTTTGTCCCGCGTTTTTTCAGATTCTCTGAGTTTGATGATTCTCTGAGTAGTATGTGGATTGTAAAATCATTACCAATTTTTAGGAAATCCAACGCCTAACATCACGTGGTTTAAGAACAACGGAACGCCTATAGCCAGGACCTACTTCCAGCCGTCGTACGGCAAGTGGTCGATGACGCTCGATGAGCTGACAAAAGCCGATAATGGGAACTACACTTGCCTCGTGTGCAACGAACTTGGTTGCATCAACCACACGGTCCTTCTTCACATTCAAGGTAAAGTATAAAGGTATATGCAGTAATATTCATTTAAATCAATCGAAAAAATCTCCTTCTTTATTATAACCTCGCATCAAATAAGCATCAGATTAATAATTTAAAAAAGGTATTTTAATATAAATAGACGTCAGCAATCTCTGACTTGTATGCCCTGCAAAGGTTTCAGTGATATTTTATGTGTCCACCGAGAAATAATGCAAGTATTAAATTAACAAGAGAATAATCAGGACTAACGATTGCTGATCAAATTTGAAATTGGAACAAGGAAAGTTAACAGTTCTTGTTTTACATTTCACACCATGTACCGGATTAAGTGACTCCGTTTTAAGCTTGTGACAAATTCCTTTAGAACGATATCCGTCGAAGCCGTATATTAAGGAAGGATATCCGGGGAACGTAACGGTGCTAGTCAACGACACGGTGAAACTGTCCTGTCCACCGGTGTCCGATTTAGAACCTTATTCCTACTGGATAAGGCCGTCGAATTACTCACTGAAAGACGCCGAGGTCGGCCCAAGCGATGCTCCTATACCAGCTGGAGACGTCATAGAGGTCTTTCTTTGATTTGAGATTTTCGGTGGAGGTCGATTAGTTGGCGGCTAAGTCTATCTTATTGGCGAGGATACTAATTTTCTGAAAATAGCAACAGAATTCGTTGATTATAACCCAGCGGCTATATTTTCTTGTTGTCTTAACACTCATGCAATACTCAATACATGTGTTCAAGCATAAAGTACACCAGTTGAGATATTACGGTGAAGGAGTTGATCTAAAGGACACTGACCTCTTTAAAGCAACTAATACCAGTCTGTTATAATAAGTGGTGGTGGAGTACTATGTAAAATGTTACTAATGTCACCTATATTTAAGGTTAATCATGTCATAACAATAAGGTTATATATTGCACTATAGTCTTTTTTAATCATTTTACTTACTTCATCGTTGATAGAGAAACGCGATAACCTATTATGATCTGCTATCGACGAAGATGTTTAACTTCTATTTCGCTTCGTTAACATTTTAATATTTATATTATCCATTCTCAACATTGCAGCCAAGACTGACCCAGAGACGACTAGAACTCAACAAACCATTGTATAAAACAGAATACCATTTATAATGTCGTGTTTTGTCCTTATAGAGCGTTTATACGCGAAGCCCGTACTCACTCAAGGCTTTGTCAACCAGACCAAGCTGGTCGGTGAGACAGCGAAATTCAGCTGCAAGTTCCTCTCGGACCTGCATCCATACGTTTTCTGGATGTTTTTCACCAATGACGAGTACAATTATAACGTCACCATTGACACGAACGACGGAGTCGCCCCGGAGTCCGTTGTGTACTACGACACTACTAAACTCATGACGGTGAGGGCGGGTGACTAACGCGCGAGTTTGGGCCGCTCATTTGCATGGCACGTTGTAGCCAGTACGTTTGCATGTGTGGAATAATTTTATAATAATTTTAATTAGTTACTGTTATGTGCTTCGTCTTGCCAATACCCGACAAGCGATGATATCAATACGGTTTTCGGAGCCGTAAATTACCTCTTACATATACGTATTTCATGTTAAAATATATATAATTCTCTTTTTATGTATGTTTGTTGCTTATATATCATGTATGTGCTAACACTAAAAGATGTTGCATGTTCAAAATGTCAGAAAAAATTTATGTGATTGTTGTGTTTACTCTTTTTTTTTATAGATGCATGACTGCCGTAAAGAATTATTATAATTTTGATACTTGTAATAAGTTGACGATTGAAATTTGACCAATTTCTTTACGAATTCCACAACTAATACTTCTTGCGATTTTCTAGAGCGAGGACCCATCGGATAAGCCAGAACAGTTGACGATATTCAATGTAACTAAAGAGGACGAAGGCTGGTACGTCTGTGTCGCTGTTAACACCTTAGGGAATACTACTGCTAAGGGATATCTCTCCGTTGTTGAATGTAAGTTGACTTAAAAAAGTAAAGTTTGAAAATATTTTCTGCCCTTGAAACCTTAAGAAGATGTACAGAATGCATATTGATCTAATTTTTGCACTTCTAGTTTTAAAGTAGCAAAAATCAAATATTTTACTCATGTTCTTAATACCTTTTTTATGCATTTAGTTCTAGTAATTTTTTTTTAATTATTCAAGTTACTGCCGTAAGAGATAAATTTTAAATGGATTCAAGCGAATCTGTATTAATCCATTTATCATTTTAAATTAACCGATGTATTTTTTACCATAGCATTTATTATTAATTTATTTTATATAAAGTAATTGCGTAGGAAATTATCTTCAGTTTTATTCTCTTAACGCCCCAACGGTAACATCCAATCCCGTTGCAAATCGGACAGAAGATTCAATATGAATATACCCTTCCAGCATTCCCAGCTCCGGAACCGATAAATCATGGGAAACACACATTGCTCATTAACATATTAACGGCGGTATTGGGAGCAATGTTCCTAGTGGCCGCTCTGATAGTGGTGATGATATTCAAGAAGCTTAAGCGGGAGAAGATAAAGAAGCAACTGGCTATCGAGACGGCGAGGGCAGTCATCGTGACGCATTGGACGAAGAAGGTCACGGTGGAAAAGCCACAGATGAACGGGTCACCCACCACGACAGGCGAGGTTTTGGTGAGTATTTTTTTTTTCAATGGAATATTAGATATTCTTTCTCTGCCGACCGCGAAAGAAAACATTGTGGACTTCTGTAGCTCTGTAGGTTACGTGTATTTTCTAGTGTGAACTGAAAATAGCCTTTAATGATGATAAACATGCACAGCTTTTCTCATTGCCGCAAATGTTAAGAACACATCATTAAATAAACGGCAGGAAGACCTATTCCTCGTTTATGAAAGAAAGTGGTAAACGAGTATGCAGTTCACCAGGTGATAAGTGATTAGATTTAGATTAACCTTCTTAAAGGCCCCGGTAAAGGGACTGACCAGACGAAACTTATCTTCTGTGATTACGTGGACCTAGATTCGAACACAGAATGTAGATACTGAACCACCACTGTTTCGTTTATAAACATTTTTTTTTCTGTTTTATTTAATTTAATAATTCTCCACATTCCAGTTGATGCCGGTTGTGAAGATAGAAAAGCAGAAACTGTCCCAAGTGCACAGCAACACGAGTGACTCCATGATGATGTCGGAGTACGAGCTGCCGGTGGACATCGACTGGGAGGTGCCAAGGGAGTCACTTTCCCTCGGCAAAGTGTTAGGGGAAGGGGAATTCGGAAAGGTGGTGAAAGCCGAATGTGTCGGAATAGTGAAGCCGGGAGTTCAGTCCGTCGTCGCTGTTAAAATGTTAAAAGGTAATTTATTATTATATTTAGGATATTTTGAGGAATTGCAGCATTTTGATAACCATGCCTTAGAAACCACATGGGCAAGTAAGACAGAAATGTTATGCTTAGTAGGAAAAAAATTAGTTATGTATTTTAATTGTAGAGGGTCACACGGATGCTGAAATGATGGCGTTGGTATCGGAGATGGAGATGATGAAAATGATTGGCAAGCACGTGAACATAATCAACTTGCTGGGATGCTGCACACAGGATGGACCACTATACGTTATCGTAGAGTACGCACCAAACGGCAATTTGAGGGAGTTCTTAAGGAACCATCGCCCCGGAAACAGGTATGAATTCTACGGCTACAATATTCGTTGGCAATTTCGTTTTGAATATATTTTATTAATGTATTTCCTTCGAGAGTATAATTTCTTATTATAGCATTCGACCATTTAAGAGAAACATATATTTTTTACCAACTTTTAAATCAGAGAGGCGCATTAACAATTTCAGTAGTAAAAAAATGAAAGCTACTATACTGCGATAAGAAATATTAAGACTATCACTTCTATTCCTTCCTATCTACTTTATTTTATTTTTCAATATTAAACCATCAAAATCAGTTACATTATCACTTCTATTTTGAGTTAGAAAAAGTACTGCAAGTATTGAAATATTTTCAGATACGAATCTCCTAACGAGGATTTGAAGGATAAAAAGACTCTAACACAAAAAGACCTGGTCTCTTTTTCCTATCAAGTCGCAAGAGGAATGGAATATTTGGCATCGAGGCGGGTAAGGATTTTCTTCGCATGTTTTATATTCAGAAGATAAACAATTTTAGAGAGTTCTGTTATCATTATTACAGAATGCAGAAATATAAGTACTAATAGTAAGCCAATAACTGGTGGGCAAATACCTCTTTTGTTTGGGGACGAAGCCACTTTTTGTACAGAGGCGTTGACCTAACCACAGACAGACACACGATATTTGAAAACCACTAAAATTTAAAAATTCTTATACTTATAAACAAATCTACGAAATCTAGTAGGTAGGATCCATTACCTATATGTATTTGTGTGGTACACTTTCGGTATTTATTAGAATGTTCTAAAATCCCTAAAATTTACACATCCAATTAGTTTTCTCAAATGTTTCAATCGGTGCAAAGGTTGTTTCGAAAATCATCAGAAAAGATTTTTGATTTTTTTTGGCGTGTGTGGAAAAATGATGCGAGTGAATTTTTACCGGTGCCCGACACCTAAAAGCCGCACCAACTTCACGGTGTTACTCCAAGATATTTCATTAAGTCGTCACACGTAATGTAAGAAGTACACTTAAGAAGTATAACTTCTTACGTGCACATAAGTACACACATAGGTTTTTTGTTGTGTGCGCTGCTCTTTTTTTTGTAACTTCTTTTTTTTGATGTGCAAGATATTTCATTAAACCGTTATCAATTACACGTATTGTCTACTCTGCACAAATAAAGAGTACTGACGCCCGGCATAAAATTGTCAGTTATTTTTCTTTTGTTACGTTAAAGAAACTTATAACTTCTTACGGGCGTACATGAGTACACACATATGTTTTTTTCTGTGTGTGCTTTTTACGTGTAAGTAACCTGTTTTTTGATGTGTGTGTCGGTTTCGGGTGTACTTATATCCTACTAGCTTTCCGCCCGCGGCTTCGCTCGCGTTGAAGTCCTTAAATAAATATCTTCCTTTAAAAAATCCAATAAAAAAGCCTATGTCCTTTCCCAGGCTCTAGACTATCTGTGTACCAAATTTCATTTAAATCGGTTCAGTGGTTTTGGCGTGAGAGCGAGACAGACAGACAGAGTTACTTTCGCATTTATAATAGTATGGATCGTCCCGACACGATGTCTATTGTCTGGTTCTCGACGCAGTGCATCCACCGGGACCTGGCCGCGCGCAACGTGCTGGTCTCCGACGACTGCGTGCTGAAGATCGCGGACTTCGGGCTCGCCAAGGACGTGCACAGCAACGACTACTACCGCAAGAAGACCGAGGGCCGGCTGCCCGTGCGGTGGATGGCCCCCGAGTCGCTGTACCACAAGGTCTTCACGACGCAGACGGACGTGTGAGTGTGGGCGATGGACTTGTTTTATTCTGTTTTATTGAAGTAATACTTTTGTTGTTTTAATATCAATATTAATTTATTTATAGTTTTGATATTGTTATTGATGTGATAATACTTAGTTTGGCGCGTTTGGGAAAAATTATGAGAAACATTTACGCGCACACCGACGGCGATAAAGCGACATGATGAAGTTGGTTCCAAAGCGACCAATTTCACGGTACATTTCACGGTATTACGATGGCAACCAATAACAAATTTTCAACAGATTTTTTTTTTTTGTTTTTTAAAACATTGCCCTTACTTTAGGATAACATTATCCTGTGTTGTAAGGACGTTTTACGAACATAAATTTCACGCGGACAAACACCCAGATGCGAAACAGCTATCTGTGGGGTCACACAAATAGTTGTCCCATGTGGGAATCGAACCCACGACCCCCGACGCCGAAGCCAATCCCTTGGCCACTGCGCCACGGAGTCATAAAATAGATTTCAAAAGAGGAGGAGGTTCTCAATTCGACTGTATTTTTTTAATTATTTTTTATGTTTGTTACCTCATACCTTTCGACATACGGGTGAACCGATTTTGATGATTCCTTATTTATTTGAAAGCTGGTGCTTCCCATGTTATCTCATATTAATTTCATTGGTATTGGATCTTGGGCTTCGGAGGTATTTCTCCCGAAAATCAATTGTAAAATGAACACGGAGCGAGCTTTGAAGTCGATTTTGTTTTCCGTTATAAAATGAACTTGTTCACAAACCAGAACCCGCAAGGGATGAAATTTTAGTTGTTTTTATTTTGTGACGCTACAGCAAGCATAACTTCTTACGTGTGTACATAAGAACACACAAACTTTATTTTGAAAAAAAAAATCCAAAGTTACATAGACATCTTGAGTACTAAAGTTAAAGCCAATTTGAATTCACATTATTTAGCTGTCATTTTAATGTACAACAGACAAACCAACAACTTTTAATAATTAAAGACTTCAGTATAAATTATTATCATCAGGACGTACGTACGCGTGCGTACGTCCTCATGTATGTGCGAGGAGAAGGCAAATGAGCTGGTGGTTAATCTGAAGTCAAGTGATAACCGCCGCCTATAGACATTTGAAGCACCCGCCTTTTAATAAAGTGTTTCACGGTTGCGTTACTCACCAGGAACGTAGAAATATAACACTTCCAATTCACGCCGGTTATCTATGAAGCCGTATTTCCCTTGACGGACCTGACCAGCGAAATCTGTTACGTGGCCCCACGACGGTTAACAAAAGGCTTTAAATGGTTGCCATATTGTTGGCCCCGATCCAAACATTAGACATAAATTTGCGTTGTCAACAGAAACTGATAAACCGTATTTTTCCAGCTGGTCGTTCGGAGTGCTCCTGTGGGAGATCATGACGCTGGGCGGGACCCCGTACCCGACGGTGCCTGGGCAGTACATGTACCAGCACCTCAGCGCTGGACACCGGATGGAGAAGCCGCCTTGCTGCAGCCTTGAAATGTAAGCGTCTGCATTACAAGTCAAACACGGCATCGGTTTGCAAATTCTTAGCAGCGGCTATAGAAATTAAAAGCAATATATAAAAGTTATTATCAAATTTTCCAAAAATTCCTTTTTATCACATTTTCTGATGCCAATATTTTTTTTTTATTATTGAAACAACTTATTACTTCAGAGAGGGACGTTATTTTTGGTATTGTAGTAATTTGTCACATTATTATTTGATTTAAAATTGTAATATTGAAGGAAATAAAAATTATTATTTTAAAAGAAATAAAATTCCAAACGTTCCATCCCAATAGTATACAAGTCTGACACATCCATTTCCTTTGCTGTTCTGTTTCGTGTGCTGTTTAAATGTTACGAATACACTGCTCACATTCTCCCTCCGCAGTTACATGCTGATGCGCGAGTGCTGGTCCTTCTCGCCGGGAGACAGGCCCTCGTTCACCGAGCTGGTCGAGGACCTGGACAAGATTCTGACCGTGACCGCGAACCAGGAATACCTGGACCTGGGACTTCCGCAACTCGACACGCCCCCGTCCAGCTACGACGGCTCCGGCGACGAGAGCGATAGCGAGTTCCCTTTCATCAAGTAACAGTTGCGGCGCCAGGGAGCTCCTTGGGAACTCCGCGAGGTTAAAGAAAGCTGTAGCATCGATTTTCGTATCCGAAATAATCGATTTGAAGGCTGGTTAAGGATTAGCCAACGCCGTTTATTAGCGCCGAGATTTTGAATGAGTTGTGAGTGTAGGGCTTGCAGTACACAATCAAATGCATCCGAGATTGATCATCCCATGTATTGACTCGAATTGACGAAATCGGATTGTACGTATTAATAAAGGGCTAAAATATTACAAGATTGTAATTTTGCACATTTGCAAACGTTTATCAAGAAATGAATTATAGATATGTTAAATTATAAATGTTTACATTTTTTAATATATTTTTCTGTGTAGCAATTTTTTAGAACTCGCTGGTGTAAAAATTTTTTCACGAATGAACCGAAGCATGAAACATAAATGGAAGTGTTTAATATAAAACCAACCACGGGAAATGATCACTAAGCTTCCATGTAGATCTAGGTTTGAATTTAGAAAAGAAATAATTTTAATAGACAAATTTAAGTTTAACGAACAGTTTAGAAGTTTTCCCACCTATATTAGATATCTGTATTTCAAGTTCTATCAAAACTAATTATTTAGATGTAAGATATCTCGTGTAAAAAATATTATATTGGAAAAGCAATATTCTCTATGACCGTTTCGTTGCTAAAGTAGTGAACTTAGCAATGAGTCCATGAAGTCGAAATTACCAAATAATATAATGAATTTTAGAAATTAAATCTATTTTATAACGTATTATTTATTTCATTAAATGTACCAAAAAAGCTTTTATCACTACGTATTTGTTTCTTTTTGTATATAATTATTTTGAAATTCATTTAGGCTGTCGACGAGCATAATATATTATTTTGTAAATAAACGTTACAGAACCAAAGTTCGACGTATTATAAGTTTAATAATTTTTATTGAAGGCTCTCAATTGTATTGGTTAATCGATATGTTATAGGGAAAGTATGCATGACATTTTTTGTGTAGGTTATTGTTATTTAACAAGTACTATACAGTATTATACAGGACTGTGTGCGAAATAATTTTATATTTCATATCTTCACTGAAGCCGTATCATATTTCTAATTATAATAATATAAAAAAAAAAAACTGTCACGATGTTTAAAGCATTTAATTATTCGAACGCATTTTTAAACAGCAATGTATTATTTATTATAAAATGAAACTGTTCATATGAGATGTCTTCTGCATGTTTTCTGTCAAAAGTTTTTAGTTTCTTATTAGTATTCATAAGAAAGATAAGAGTAATATTAACATTTTATTCTTACGAAATTACCTTTTAAGGTCAATTACGGAACTTCAAGTTACACCGATATTAGTAGACACGTACTTAATTAGATTTCTATTTGAATTTAGTGACGGTTGAAATAGTTTAGTTAAGTTTAGTGAATGCATTGTATATAATGTCTAATACTCCATTGCGAATGTTGTGTAATAGATTATGTAACAGATGAACAACTTGTATGCGAGTAATTTTAGGTAGGTACCTATATATTCATGTTAGGTAAAACTTGTGAAAATCTGAATGGTTCGTGAACATTTGTGTATATTTGATTTCTCTATGGTATGTATTAATGTTGTACAAAATGGATTAAGTGAAAATAAAATGTAGAAAACATATCCTTTGTATTTTTATTTTCACATCGCATAGCAACACACCTTTTTTTGGTTTTTTGTGTTTCTTCAAAACATACCTTACATGACAGGGTCATGTGGGGTTCGTACCAAGTAAAACCCCCTCGGCGGCCACCTTCTGTAAGTTTGGAGTGACTCCACTCTCTCTCTCGGAACGAACCGGTGTCCCTCGGTACTACGCGTGAGCCTCGGAGAAGTATAAAAGTTCTCCGATTCCCTCACCATCTCGGCATCAGCTGGACTGCTGTTGCCAGTCACGTCCAGTTTTAGTCACTTTTTACGACAGGCAGGGGATACCTTAGCCATATTCCATGAGCCCGAGACAACATGGCTGATAGCAAAATACCTCGTCGGGTCATAGGTTCTGTCACATAATGAACTTTTGAATTTCGAACATTTACTGAATTCGAATTTCGAATGTTTCATTTATTTTTAAATTCATTCATTCATTTATTTTTTAAATGTGGAGTCGACGCATAAAGATCGAGTTGCGATTATCGCGTTGCATCATTCCCGTTACGCGCCAAATCCGATTTTCGATCTACTGGAAAATTTCAATATAACCATAAGATTTATTTATCGCTCCATAAAACGATATAAAGTAAATTCCATGTAATTCTTTTCCAAGAAAATTCTAGAAAATGAATTACACGCGACGGGGCGTTAACCACCGTCATTTCTACATTAAACGCCCTATAGCTCAAAAAGGTATGGACATTAGTAAAAAGTTTTAAATAAGTTATTATATTATTATATATACTTTATTGAACACCATAAAACATAAAAGGAAATGTTACAGAACTATAAACTTAAGATGTATAAACCATAAGGCGGTCTTATCGCTAAGGAGCGATCTCTTCCAGATAACTATAAGTTGTTGCGAATAGATTGATTTTTACAAACAGACATTTCCCCGAGTTTGGTAAAAATATTTTTTGTATATAAGTAATTCAATTTTTTCTTAGATAAGCTGATTCCTTCACTAAATTTTATCATTATTTTCTAGCACCGTCCACCGTGTTAGCACAATTCTATTGACATTGAAATTGTTGTATGTAGTAGTCGAGTTAAAATGGCGTGCTATTTAATAAAAACTGAATAAAAACGCCGGTCATCAAAACTTGTGATTTAATAGAACATGCATACATACTACGCCATCTTTTGGCGAAGGATAGTCATTTAGGAGACTGTAATTAGTCTGCTCTAAAACTAATTTGATTTTCTTCAACAGATGGCGCTGCGTGTATTGAAATCATTCGAAGTCAATTTTTAACGGCTTCTACATAACTTTAGTTTCACGAACAGTTTTCGTAGAATATTAATAGTTAATTAAGCATTGAAAAATTTATAAAGCTGCGAATAATGGTAATTACTTAACACCAGGTGATTTGCTCGCTTGCCAATTTATGAGACAATAATGTAATGTCACAGTTCTCACTTTTAAAAGAAAACTAATTACGTAAGGCAACGTAATTAAAGGTCGTGGACAAAACCTGTTACTAAAAAGATAATTGCGTAATCATATATTGCTCAAAGCATTGATTAATTGTCGTCAAATTGAATAATGTTAACGTTGAACTAAAAATAAAAATGTAGATTGGTAGCGTAATTAAAAGGCGAAAAAATAAATGTTGTCAGTTATTTATTAATCATTATTTATGCAGCACGAATGTTTATGGCATAGCCTATAGGAAGATACAAACATTACAAATTTATCTTTAGTTTTTTTTTATAGCTCCAACACTGCATATACACACATATTACATAATATATCACATGAAACGTCTTTTAAGACGAATTCACTAAAATCTAATATTAATTTAAAACTGTTAATGATATTTATCTTAAGTCTAAATCAGGACTGTCGTAATTAAAGTTAAACGTAAATACAATATCTCTTAATTAACAAAGAAATTATGTACATAAACGAAAACGCAAAATTAGAAATAAACAGTAAATAACATAATTAAACTAAAAATACAAATCTACTCAATAACACCGATCGCTTATTCTAGTCATGTGAATAATACTTGTCATTACATCAAACCTGTCACCTCGATTTGTCGGGTATATTGAGTCGAGAGGAAAATCGGAAAGGAGTCATAGGGTAACTCTGAGATCAAGAAAGTGACGGCGCGAGGCAAGTATCATTTGCTTTATTCCAAAGACTCAATTGTCAATTTACTAAAACAACTTCAATTAACTAAAACAATCCACTGTACAAAACAATCGGCGCGCTGATACAACAAACGAAATTACCGTGGCGAGTCGTTTTCAAACTAAAGCGACGGATGTCATAACACATTGGAGTTATTGAGTGGAAAACAATGGGCGCAAACGACCATCGTGCAATATCAAAACAAAGTGACGTTAGTAATTGATAAAACAGGTACGAAGAACAAAGGGGTGTTTAATAAAATAAAGCGAGAGATGTCCTAGCGAATGTCACGTGCCGTTGACCGACTAGGGTTGCCAACTGTTTTTGAGAAAAATAACGAATCACATTCAAGCAGGGAAAAAATAAAGTAATTGGAAGAAAGAAAAAAATAAACGTATTTATTTCTTCCCTCGAAGACAGACATAATATTTTCTTGTTCATTCACAAACCTGACAGTTTTTCATTATCGTTAAATAGATTATTAAAGTATAATGAAAAACTGTACGGAACTAGAGTATTTTCACATTATTACTTGAAAAGTATATTTAATAAAGTAAAGTAAAGTTGGCAACCCTATGAACGACACGGACCTTAAAGGCGCGCGGGGGAGTCTAAACGAGGAACTTTCAGACGCGTCGTCTCCCGCCTAAGCGGGTGACGCCATCGATCATCACATGTTGACGCAGCGCAGCTTCTTATCGGGCACCCTGGAGGCGAACTGGAAGCTGGGCGGCGGCGGTTTGGCCTCGCGTTTCGGCTCGCCCCTCTCCGTCTCGCCCATCAGCGTTCTGAGGCATATCTTCATGTCGCTCGCGAACTTTCTGACGAGACGCTCTAGCGAGAAGAGGTGCTCGTCCAACGCTTCTGGTATCTCCTCGCGCATGAAGTCCGCCAGCTTGAGGAGATACTCGACATTGCTGCCTGACGAGCCCTGGCACTCGAGGATCTGCCGCGCTATATCGGGAAGGGGCGCCGCGCCGAGCCAATGCCTGTTCTCGGGCAGGGCGATGTAGAGAAGCGCGTCCTTGTTATCCTGCTGGAATGAGCTGGAAGTGGCGATTGGCGCCGGCCTAGGGTGGAAGTTGACGGTGTACGTACGGTATCCGCCCAGCTGGCATTCCCTGGTGGAGAGATAGGGGAGCGCCGCGTGGTTCTCTGCCGCTATTAGGAACGCCTTGCCCCACGTGATGCCCTGTAACGTAAAAGAAAAGAAATATCGTTAATTAATAATTAATAATAATATTATAAATGCGAAAGTTTGTATGTATGGATGGATGTTTGTCACTCTTTCACGCAAATACTACTGAATGGATTTTAATGAAACTTTACAATAATATAGCGTATACTTCAAAATAAGACATATACTATAATTTATATACATGTTTTATGTATATCTATCTGTCTTTCTGTCTGAATGTTACGCCTTCAGCCTATTCTACGCAGATGTAGTCGCGGGCAGCAGCTAGTAAAAAATAAGCATAAGTAGGGAGAGAAAAGGAGAAAGATAGATGGAGGAGACATTGTTTATGATTTATTGACAATTCTTATTTATATTTGGATGATTTATACGCATCGTCATGTCGGATATGGATTAATCAATCCATGATTACGAGAGTATTGTAGTAATTTATTGCTCAAATTTTGTCGCTGATAACGAGTCTACCAGCCAAACAAAATAAACAACAAAATAATCAAAGAGATAGCATGCAGGTTGACGTGAGACGTTATCACATGTATGTAACATAGAAAAGAATGGTCTTGCTTGTATAAAAATATTTCTAAGATATTTGAAGTCCGCCAATCCGCAGTATGGTGGCGTGGTGCACCATATAGATAGAGGAAACCTTTGAACAGCAGTGGGCATAGAAAGGCTGTTACTTCTAAGAGTAAAATGTCGTCAGGTGAATACCCGGCTTCGGTATTAATGCATATCCTTTCTTCCGGATTTGTCCGCATATTCACTACGTTCCTTTTATTTTCGATTGAGACTGACTATCTACAAAGATGATGAAAGAGAATTACCATAGTACCCTCCGTACAGGAGAGGCCTTTGCCCTGCAGGAGGACATTCCTATATATGCTGTTACTTTACTTTTTAGACAATTATCTTATTATTAGAATATGTTTCAGTTGTCTTAGTGGCTGAGCCACCAAAATCATACATCGTGCGAAACGATCGTATAAGGTCATGAACCTCAATTGTAAATAGGCATGAAAGAAACAAACATAATTTCGCATATTACAAGGAATTTATAAATACGTATAGTTTACCCAACATCACCAACGTCACAAACTGAACGCAATTAAGAAGACCATTTCTTTGACAATTCAATTGCGTCATCAAAAATTATTTCGAATGAAGAAACCACCATTGCGTTAACGGTAATACGTAAGGGGAAAACGAGTAGTCATTCGAGAATATTGCAATATACGACTTGATAACAGAACACTGGCGAGCGGCAGTCATAACAAAATAGATCTTGGTTAAATTAATAACAAAAATATCGTGATTAGAGGAAAAACATGACGTACATACATATGAAACATAAACATGTTATTTTTATAGAGTAGTTGGTAAACGAGCAAACCGTCCATCTGATAGTAAGTGATACGCCCATGATGAAAGAACAGTGGGAGTTTCCTATACATCTCGCAGACTAAAATAGACTATTTTCTTCATGGACCCCAAAGATTCATTTGTTTTTTATTTGTCTCATGACTTAAGCGATCGTCTATGCAGCCTTTTCAGGCTGGCTTAAAACTAAAGATTTTAGACCTCAGATATCTGGTCTTATTTTAAGTATGGTCTTTGATACTTGGCAAATATTTGCCATCGAAATGATTGGAACCGATTGGAAAGAGTGAGTTAGATGTCGTTTAAGAAGGACAAGGTGAAATGTGGTAGATGTTAATGTTAGTTGGGTTAACCGGTATGCAAATTATTGAAGTGGGAAGGTTAGATTAAAAGCAATTGGATATCAATTTAAAATCTTATCTTCACTAAAGCTGGTTGGATTTGATGGTTGCCAAATAGTCTAAAAGATTAAAAAGTTTCCAGTTTTATTTAGATTAATGCGTAGGTGAACCTTGATAAAATCGCACGATTTTGCTACACAAAATACTTATGCCTTGAAGGTATTCATATTTTTCATACTTTTTCCATAAAAATACTGCCTGCTACTTATGTACAACATAAGTACCACCATATGTCAGTAATACAAGTAGGTAACATCCCGCCTAAGTAAGCTAGTAAGTGATAGTTGGTTGAATAACTTTTTCGCAATTCTAATCACACATTATTGGAATGGTTCAATTTCAAAAATTAAAGTTCTAGTCATTCGAAACATCTTACTATCCTACAGAAGTTATTATCAATAAAGATTATTAGAGGTTGACACGACAACAGGTCGACGCACTTCCTTATCACCTAGACATGATAGCTGTGCTATATACCTCGGATTCGTATCATCGAGGTCGTAAGAGATTGGCATTTTTAGTGCATTTTTGACTGAGATACACAGTAGGTAGTTTTGATCAAGTGCGTATAATGTAGCGTTCCAAATAACCTCACATTTATAATTCAACTTGTAAACTATGTAACCGAGTCCCACGTCCTTAAAGCTGACGACACATAAGCCCTAAGCGTTTTGTGATTATACAATTAACCAGCCGTTTCCCATCACCCTTCATAAAAGTGGGTTGACCCTTGCGAGTACTGTTTACAACAAAAAAAGTTACACAAAACACAATGAGGAAGACGAATTGTAGGACTTCTGGTAAAATATGTCTGTGATAATTTAGTTAATATAAGACACATAAGTACGTATGTGGGGGCTATACACCAAAAACGGGGTCAATTCCAGATCTGAGGACATAATATTTGATAACATTTTGATCTAATGGCAGGGTTAATTCAATAGTAAAAGTTTTGGCCACTACGAAGGTTTGACGATGTTAAAATGCCGATGGTGAATGTTAATTATATTTTAAATATTATTACAATGTTTACGTATAGTTACTAATTAATTTTCTAACAAACGGATAAATCTAGTTGTGATTCCTTGTCGGTGTGAAAATACTTATAGATAATAACTACTTTAAGTTTGGACTCAACTTGTACTGAAGTTCAACTTTACAAACATATATAAAAAAAAATAGCCAACAGAGAGCTTGAATAAAACGCAAGGACAATATGCTAAGGCCTCGTTAAAGTATAGAAAAACTCTTTCTCATTTCTTTACAATGTGTTACTATTTTTAAATTGAGACTTCTAAGAGACTTTTAATCTGATTTGAAAGGCCACGATATCCTTATCTGACAAATTATGTTAAGTGCTCCTTGAAATATTTCATATTGGCGCATATCTGTCTATTGAAAGTAGACCATTATTGAAGTTAATCTAAATTTTTGTTTGATAAAATGCCGCTAGTCTATTGGAGACATTGGAGTCCATAATTTTTACACGATTAAAAACGGTGATAATATCGACAGACTGACAGTTATCGTGAAAATTATTTCTAAAGGGGAGACTTCTACGTCTTTAAACTGAACGTCGCCAATTAAATCATTTTAATTAGTTGATTGCTATTTGATTTTTTAGAGCTCAAGCGCTAGAAAAATTATTCCGTTTCTACAAAGTCTAGCTGCTAATGATTTTATACCTAAATAACTTTGTATACTTACATCATAAAAAAAGATAAGAAGACCGCAATTTCTTGCCTGCTCGTCTCTAAACAGGTCTAGTTTAGTGAACTAGTGGTTGTTTTGGAAAAAATCGGTTCATAAATAACGGAGTTCGGAGGTAACAAACATATAAAAAAGAACGATTGAATTAAGTACCTCCTCTCTTTTTTTAAAGACTGTTGAAGTCTTAGATATAGCTGGGCCCAGATTAGCAAGTTTTCTCAACCATAACTATACGATCTACTTACTGATCAGATTATTGTTTGTAGAGAAGATGGGCGTAAATCGGGTATGTTGTTTGATATCGCAGTTACGATGCGACCTACATTGGTTTTATTGGTTAAGAGGTTACATTGGTTCAGAGCCGTGATAGTTCAGTGCAGAGTTCGATGTTTTTAACTTTAAGTGCTGACTTATCACGTGCTCCGCGGTGAAGGAAAACATCGTGAGAAAACCTGCATATTTTCTAAATAATAACAAAAAATATATATTTCAAAGATATGTGAAGTCCGCCAATCCGCAGTGGGGCCGCGTGGTGGACTATGCCCTGATACCGTCTGTATAGAGGAGGCCTTTGCCCAGCAGTCGGACATGTATAGACTGTTACTTTACTTTTACTTTCCTACATTGGTTCGGCCAGCTGTACTCCCAGTTATCAGAAATCGACGCAATCCAGTCTCATATAACTGCTGGTGCGAGACAATTTAACCTCTACCGGATTATCAACGGAATGCATTAAGAATGACCGTGGTAGTGCCCAGTTGCTTCTGCTGTTGCAAAAAGGGGCGGGCTCGTCTGGTACTGCACCATGAGTACTAACGCAAATATCTATACACATTGATTGAATTGTAGGACAAGGATGTGTGGAAATGACTCTTGCACTGCACTTGCAAGTCCCCTGGCTCCTGCTAATTTTATACTTCAATGTTTTTGTAATTAAATAATTCTTTGTATACTTAAACAATTTATAAAAAAAATAATATGACCGCAGAGTTTCTTGCCGGTTCTTCCCTTGCAGGTCTAGTTTAGTGAACTGGTGGTAGTTTTTGTTGACGTTCAATAAGAGCTTAAAATAAGCCTATGTTGAATAATGAAATTTTGACTCACTTTGGAATGGGATAATTTATAGTAAACGTAAGAAAACTTTGAAAGTGTTAAAATTAATTATATGCCAAACATGTACTTTGTTTATTTAAAGACATTTAGCTTTCCTCGAATGAATATGACGTTATTTGGGATATTCTGCATACAGTGATGAATAAGTTGGACGGTCAGAATGTCCGCCTCCGATATTGAAGTTTTGATAAACAAATAAGGGTCATATTCGTTCATATATTTTGAAAAGCAATTTGTAAATCGAAATACCTACCAGTATTAGAAAAAGGCTCGATGAGAAGTGTTGACGGTTCCACATTCGTACTTGACGTTTGACATTCAAAGTACGATTACGCACGCAAGTTTTCATTGCAATGTCAATATGGTTTTCGCTGTGGAGTAGTTTGGTCGGCC